AACTGGCTGCTCACCTGACGTATTTTTTAAATCATTCTCTTTTTTTTTACTCATTAAATGTGCAATTCAAGCATTATTTCTCTATGTTCCTGGCGTATAACAGAGTCAACTCCCATGGGTTTAAAGCTTGCACACACCTCACTTTGAGTCAGGATAGGAAGCTCTACCAGAAAGGTGAATTTTACTTATAATAATATTGAATTAAGCTGTTTTATACGATATCGTGCCAATATATTATTTTTTGTTTATTTTGATGAAGAAAGTTTTTGCACAAAAATTGAAGAGGGATGAAGCTGACAAAACCTGACCATGGGTAAAGTCTGTCAGAGTCCACTTATAGGTTCTAGGTCAGGCTTCCCCAAACTCCGGCCCTCCAGATGTTGCAGAACAACAACTCCCATGATTCTCAGCCTATCTATTGCATTCATAGAATCATGGGAGTTGTAGTTCAGCAACATCTGGAGGGCCGGAGTTTGGGGAAGCCTGACCTAGAACCTCTAAGTGGACTCTGACAGACTTTACCCATGGTCAGGTTTTGTCAGCCTCATCCCTCTTCATTCCTTGTCCAAAAACTTGTCTAATTAGGGATAGGGGAGGAGCTACCCATTGTTGTGCTGCCATGGATATGGCCAGGAAAGATATATACTGTATAGATAGATGGATAGATAGATAGATAGATAGATACTGTATAGATAGATAGATACTGTATAGATATTATATAGATAGATAGATATATAGATAGATGCTGTATAGATAGATAGAGGCTATATCTATGTAGACTGTAAGTGTATTTCTATTATTAGTGAATATCATGAACTATGGTTCATCCTTCGTCCACAGCATTTGTGTTTTGATTAATTAATATATTGGTTCGAAGTGACTAAATTTGGATGAAGGACAGATTGCCCAAAGTTCTGAAGAATCGATATTTGTTTGGAACTGAATGCACAAGTCTCGTACGTATACTTATGCTGATTTTCATCCAGGACTCGTGTAAATTGAAAATACTTAAATGGTCTAACGCTTCAACCCTGATTTTCAAGACACTCATGCAAATTACACTCAATTATCCTGCAAATTCACAATAGCCACTTGTTCTTGTGTGGTTTCATAGCTAGCACTTAACGGATAAGCAGAGATAAAAAGGGACGTGTTCAGCTTATTGAATCATTAGCATATGTAGGACAAAATAATTTTTGGGGGACAAAATAGTTTTTAAAGAAATAGTCCTACATACATCCTTGCATATTAACCTTGAATTCTGAATATTTCAGTAAATTATGGCTTACCTGTCTAAGATCACAAAGCCTCTCTCCCCAACTGGCTGCTCACCTGACGTATTTTTAAAATCATTGTCTTTTTTTACGCATTAAATGTGCAATCCGAGCATTATTTCTCTATGTTCCTGGCGTATAACAGAGTCAGCTCCCATGGGTTTAACCCCTTAAGGACCAAACTTCTAAAATAAAAGGGAATCATGACATGTCACACATGTCATGTGTCTTTAAGGAGTTAAAGCTTGCACACACCTCACTGTGAGTCAGGATAGGAAGCTCCACCAGAAAGGTGAATTTCACTTATAATAATATTGAATTAAGCTGTTTTATACAATATCGTGCCAATATGTTATTTTTTGTTTATTTTGATGAAGAAAGTTTTTGGACAAGGATTGAAGAGGGATGAGGCTGACAAAACCTGACCATGGGTAAAGTCTGTCAGAGTCCACTTAGAAGTTCTAGGGCAGGCTTCCCCAAACTCCGGCCCTCCAGATGTTGCAGAACTACAACTCCCATGATTCTCAGCCTATCTATTGCATTCATAGAATCATGGGTGTTGTAGTTCAGCAACATCTGGAGGGCCGGAGTTTGGGGAAGCCTGTTCTAGGCCATGATAGTGTTCCATTGTTAGAGTGTTTTCATTGGGGTGCTCCTATTTTTTTATGTAATTATTAATAGCACTTACATAGCGACAACATATTCCTCAGCACTTTACAATTATAGAAAGGGAATATTTAGAGGTGAATATTATGTATTTTTTTCTCTTTGTTGTTTATAATGGTAGTGATAACGCTGCCATGTTATTATGGCGTTTAAGAACAGTTTGACAAGTTAGATAGGTCTTGCTGGGTTCGCGCCAATGCCTCTAGCAAGCTCCTCAGCTGAGAGCATAAGTTGAGCATTCTCAATCAGTGACCATCACCCAACACTGCCAGGCAGATCTTTCCAGATGCAGAAGAGGTGGAGGCCAACGGACCCTAGGTAAGCTGTCAAGTTTAAAAAGAAAAAACAAGAACATTTTGTTTTGGCAGCTATTTTCTTATTAACTACCAGATATCTAATCTTGAATTCTCTGTTATAACAGCCAGTGCCGCCACCTAAGTGCGTGGAACTGCACCAGTGGCCGCCGGGCCCGTTACAACCGTTATGGTTGTCACCCCCTGATAACTGCTACAGATTAATGTTTCACTTGGAGAACTAATAGCTCTTTAAAAAGTATTACAAAAAAACAACAACAAACAGACATAGGAAGAAACGTGTTCCTTAAAAAGCTGCAGCAATCTGTGTTCTGAATTATCTAGATCAGGACTAGCCAACTGGATAAACGTAACATATGTCTGGACTTTTAAATGCAACTATGTCTACAAACTGTGCTACCGGCACTTAATATACTCATAATGAAATCAGTCAGGCTTTATGGTGCCTTTAGTCAATAATATTGTAGGAGATACAGGCTGGTTTTCTCTTTAATGTTTTTTTGATAACAGTTAAATCATTCATGTGTTTTACCCCGACCAATGAAAAGGAATGATTGTTTACTTTGAGCAAGGAGCAAGGTAATTGTGGCACATGGTGTAAGATTAACAACTGAGGATGAAGTCATAAGGAGAGGTTTCATAGTTCTGAGATATGAGTCCCAGTTAAAGAATAATCCTGTAAAATTGATTTTTTTTCACTTTTCAGCAGTTTTCTTCTATATGTAAAGATATTTCTGTCCCCACTTCTGACTTTGTGCTCACACTATGCAAAGAAACTTGTAACAGCACTCTACAAATGGAGAGGCCTGAGTTGGCTGACACTAAGCCCCATCTTATTACTTACACATCTATAATTGTATTGCCCTGATACCTTGGTGCAGAAGATTAAGTGCCTTGTTGCACGAAACGCGTTAGGCCATTTTTCCTGTGATATGCTTTCTTAGGTTTTACACTGCTATGTCTATTTTTTTCTTTGTTTTTTTAAACCATCTGAATAAAAGGTATGTTTTACTTAAACACGAATTGCATCTACTGAATATATGGTTCTCAGTGTTAGCCGGTGTATCTACAGATTTTGTCTGGTTATCCAGACATGTTCCCACATCTAAACCTCATAACAGTAGGAAGTATGCTTCTGCATTGAATATATAAAGGGGCACTCTGAGCACTAAAACCACTACAGATTCATTTAGTGGTCTTAATGCCTAAATACTGTCACTGCAGTCTGACAAAATGTAAGCATTGGCATTTATATTTTTTCAGTACACATGCCTCTGGTAGCTGTCAATCCACCCTTTCCAAAACTTAAAGTAACCCTTTCATTACTCCCAAATGTACTTAACTCAAAGTCTAAACCTGAAAAAAACAACTTTACCTAAATGCTGGGTTTAACTCCCCATGTACCCCAATACTAAAATAAACTATACTCTAACTGTAAACTTAAAGATCCTAAACCCCCCCGTACTCAAATAATAAATCTAGCTGCATTCTAACCCTAAAACCCATCATTCTAAAACAACCGTATGCCACAACTATAAACCCTGTCAAACTTTAAGTTCTCTTAACAATACAAATGCCCTATTTAAACAACTCTGATGCCATCTCAAACCTTAATCCCTCCTTTACCACATCTAACATTACCTATAATCCTCCCTGCATTTAGGTGCATATATTCACTATACTCACAAATTAAAACACAATACATTACAAACAGTAATATGTACATACATATATCAACATGTGTTTTTTTAGTTGTTCTATGCTAATAAAGCTTATATATTCATTAAATTAACTTAATCTACCATTTCCATTTATTACACACAAACACACACACACTCACACACACAAACACACACACACACACTCTCTCTCGGCAAATCTATTACTTATGTTATCTATGTGGCAAAGATGCCTCTGCCACGTGTTTTAGTAGGAGCCTGCTGGCTAGCCTCCTGCCCACGGACTATGGGCCATGTAAAAAGACCTGTTATAGGATTTGGTTTGTGTGGGTTCCCTGGACTGTTTGGGAACCGAACAAATCCACAAACTAAAGACCACCCGGGAGCTTGTTAAACCCTATTGACACCTTGTAACGATTCTCACCGCAGTATTCTAATGGTTCGTCTGGCTTGCCGCCGTTCGTATGCACGAACACGTGGTGGCGGCCATCTTGTTCGCACAAACACAGGCAGCGGTGTTTGGTCGTCAAGCGCATGGAACTAAAATCAGACACTTGATCTCACGGACACCACTCAACTTCCATCCCCACCTGCGTTTGGTTCTGTACATCCTAGACGAGCACTGTTCAGTGGAATCGTTCATATGGATTAGGGGAACAAGCTCCATATTGTGACTATGGACTATGCTTGGTAATGTATTCATTTTTGTATTGCCAAAAGAGAGGAGCCTCGTGTGCGGTCGGTCAAAATTTTACCCTGGTGGTGTTTCAGCTGTATTCGTGGGATCTGAGCGCTATTTGGACATGTTGTGTGCTCAGATCCAGGCTATCCAGGGATATAAGACTTGAGGGGTTACATGGTTGTTTTATGCATGTTTTTGGGGTGTTATAAATATTGTAGATTTTTCTGTACCTAAGAGATAATTTAATTAGATGTTTTTTCCCCAGGTAATTATCTCTCAGGCACAGAGGATCATGGGAGGAATTGCCCTGTTATTTTGTGTGGGAAACCCCTTGTAGGGGCTTTTGCATAAAAGGCTATGTGTGGCCCTGAATAAAATTGTCTTGTTAGAAAAGCTCTACAGACTGTTACAATATTGCTCTTTTCTGTTTCCTCACAGAACCTTGTTTCGGTATTTTAACTGTGTAACCTAATCCCCGAACCGATTTCCCGTTACCCATTCGTGTATATGAACAACAGACCACCCGGCCCCTGGCATGTGCCGCCACTTAACCCTTGTCACCTCTCCAATACCCGAACAACTGACCACCCTACGAGCGGAACGTGTCTCTAATTAATCGCCAAGGGAGCTGCGGTCTGCGGTTAACCACAGCCTAATTGACGGTCCCAGGGCATTCCCGTTCGTGCACTATTTCCCGAACTAAAACTACCGAAAGACTCACGAACGAGGACTACCTACATCCTGGTGTATGGCCCCAATTAGAATGTTGGTTTTGCGGTTAACCGCAGGTTAAGTACCCCTTCCCGGCGGTCTCCGTTAGTTTCCCGAACGGCTGGGGAAACCATCAGGAGAACGGGGATTCGTGTAAACCCCTGGCCGCTACTCGTTCCATGAGTTTGGGGTCGAGGTCCCGCTGCCCATTAACTCACTTGAAAACATGGCCGCTGTCTCAGGTTCGGGACAAAAGACACGAACAGACTTTATATTGATGAAACTAACCATACCTTTCGTGAGTTCTGAGTGCTATTTGACTATCTGCTGTGCTCAGATCTGGGCTACATAATGAACGGTAGAATGCACGAATTGTCTATTAAAATGCTAAAGTTATGTGTTTTTATACTGTTTTGTATGTTGCAAGAAAACGTGGGGTGCTTGGAGATAATTACATTGTCATAACCGTTGGATTCATTATCTCCAAGCTTGGGCGGTAATAATTTCAAAAGATACATTGTGTTTCTATTGGTTAACTGCTTGCATTGTCCCTGTATCCCATCAGGTCCCTGGACCTGAGATTTCGCATTAAATAGTGATACCTGTGTGCCATTAAAGCCAGTTCTTTCTTGACCCTCAAATCGCAGCCTCAACTTGTTTTGTGGGTAAAAGGGTATCCTAGCTGTACCATAGCTAGTGGGATTATTCTACATTTACAGGATTCTTGTGGTATACTGACTTGAGCGGCTCTTCTCTCTCTCTACACCGGGGAACCAGACTATCCAAGCGGTCCAGCTTCCAGCTAGCCTGGAGGTAACCGTAACAAGTCTACTCCCAGCATTAAGACTCGGCTCATGTGTGGGGGGAACAGCTATACTTGCTATACCTGCTATACTCTCTGGAGGAAAGGTCTACCCACTTGGAGCTGGATCCAGGACTTGGGGCCACGGTGGGCAGAGACGGCGAGACCCCAGCCAAGCTGCGGCGGCTAGGGGCTGGAAGTGCTTATGGTATCATTGTGCAGTGCTTATGGTACTCAGTGATTACTAGGAGGCATACATTTGTGGAGGTACCCAGTCGGAGTACCAGGCGGTCCGCCACAATCTATATTGGCATGTTGTCTGCAGATGTTTAAAAATGTTCTTGTACATTTAAATCCAGACTTAATATCTATTATATATATATATATATATATATAAAAAGTAGAGAAAATACCGTCACTTTAGGTCTGGGACCTAGAGTGCCGGTATTTTCTCTGCTTTATATTATATTGCTACTGAGCACCAGGCTGTACATTTTGATAGTTGGAGTACAGGAATTCCCACTTCTAATATATATATTATGTGTGTGTGTGTGTGTGTGTGTGTGTGTATATATATATATATATATATATATATATATATATATATATATTAGAAGTAGGAATTCCTGCACTCCAACTATCAAAATGTACAGCCTGGTGCTCAGTAGCAATATAATATAAAGCAGAGAAAATACCGGCACTCCAGGTCCTAGACCTAGAGTGACGGTATTTTCTCTACTTTTTATATATATATAAACAAAAATTGATATCTTGGCACTCGTGTGTGTGTGTGTGTGTGTATATATGTATATAGTTCCGAAATAAAGATTGTTATACAATATTATTCAACATGTAGAATGTTAATACAATTTTCAGATTAACCAAGATAACAATTTGCTTACAATTGCAAGTATTGCACAACTTGTACTTATTCTTTATCACTATTAATATCTATAATCTTAAAAAAGCAATTCTTGCCTAACTTCAGTGCTGTAAGCATTATAATGCCTGTGTGTGCTGAACAATTTCTCTAAAGACATATTTGGTATATTTGAACCTCTTTCTATCTGATTAGCTCTATGAAAATTCTCTGAAGAAGCAGATTCAGAAACTGAGATTAGGATTTAGTTTGTTAGTGGAAACAATAAGTAATTAAGAGGAACACAATGTAAACAAGACAAAGTATCGCTATGGCAATAATTACATTTTGGGGCCAGTGAATTGTGGTGACGTGTAAATCAACTAATAAGCATAAAAATAAAAAAATGATAACAAAAGCTAAATTCGTAAACAGTTGACTGCAGTTTGCCATTTTTTAATTCTGATAGATTCACAAATAAAACCTACTTGTCATATGAGAGCAACAGGCAAACTGGAGGATATCGGGGCCCGTTGCTCGCTTGTTTTAAAAAAAAAAAATGCAAATGTATGTTAGGACTCAAGCATCGAAATGGGTGCAGATGTTGAGGTTACCCACCTATAATAACCTCAACTAAAATATAGACTAAATAAAAATAGTGATACCGCACACCAAATTGGTTGCTGAAAAAATCTAAAAGGTTTTAATTCATGTACTATACTATACAAGGTAATTCATTAGTGCATCACTTTTACAATCAAAAAATAATTCATATTATGCACATCAATATTTACAATACACAAAAAAATAAAAATAAAAAATCGGAGTTCATATTATGTACACCAGTTATATAAGTAACTTGAATCCATATACAGGGGGAAAAAGTCCATCTAGTATCTGTTAATCATGTCAGAATATTTATATCAACAGACATTTTGTGCTAAAAAGAAATTAAAAGTGTATATTGCTAAAGTCACTCAGAACAAAGCGGACTCCATTTTGCTATCTTCAGGATAACAGACACATAATTTCCTTGATTTCTTCTTACTTTCTGTAACTAGCCACTTACTTGAACTAAGGAATGCATTATCTAAACACAGACACTAATGACAGAGAAGACTAAGTAATTAATTTTACTTTCTAAATTTTACAAGGTTCCATTGTAAGTAAGGGGTGAAATTGAGTTTAGAACTGTCAATTTTACAAATTACAATCAAAGTAGTTGCCACAAAGACTGAGACAAACGCTTTGAACTGACAGCAAATCTAAGTTATGGTAGTCATTTTAGATAAGCCAAATGATGTCAAAATCGTCATCAGGAAAAGTTAACTCTTTCCTGGATAGGAAGGTTTCGTTAGACGAGACTGCCCTCTATGCATCAAATACCTAAATTGCGATCCATCGATTGAATCCACCTACGGCTTCCTATTCCTATATGACGTACAAAGAGTCTGGCCCTTTAAAAGTAAGGACAAAGGGAGAAGTTGGGAATAGAGAGAGAGGGAGTTGAAGTTTGGGGACTCTAACTCGGACATGCAGAGAGATCCAGGACATTCTCTGGGACTAACACTCTACTCTTAAACTCTTGGACACTCAACTCTTTTAAACTCCTTGACACTTGAAATTTACTGATACTTTCTAACCAACACCACTTTCTCTATTACCCATGCACCTACATACAACCAATCAAGTTTCTGGGACTACCTACTCATCTGATGAGAATATCTACATAACAGGTAATTATGCTGGTTTTATTTAATTAATTTAAATTAATGAAAATTTACTAATAGCATGATATATGACTGGATAAATCATGGTCAGATTTCAATATTTAGAAATCTTAGTTAACTAAAGAATATATAGTTATAAACATTCCATTCTGCAGGTGGAATTAAGAATAATTATATATTAATGTGATAGTATCACGTGTTAGCATACCGCTGTTTTTATCCAGGTGTATTGATTTGCTCTAAAATAAGATAAGATATCTTTTTAGGCAAATTAAAATTCGGATTATAGAATCTGGTAGATTATTCTTATTGGATGGTTCCAGGAAGTGACTAATGATCTGGTTTAAATGTTATTTTAATTGAAAATCACAGGAGAATAGGATACTATATGCCTAGGAGGATCTAGCCAGCATTGAAAGGGTTATTCAGTTGTTTTAACTGTTAGCCAAGGTTTTATGGCTCTTTGCTGTGAAAAGCTTTACTTTTGCTGTGTAAGGATACCCTCATAAATCTTAAGTGACAGAAAATGCTGTTAGCCTTTGGAACATGTATAGCTATTCCATTGTATTGCATATTTATGTTGTACTAAATATTCACTGATTATTATCATGCATACTGCCTAATATTATTGTTAATTATTGGTCATAATAAATAAATCTATTTTTATAACACATTGTGATCATTAATTGTATGGAATACTTTTCACTTATTTGATAAACAATCTCTAAGATCTAAGAGAATTTAAACAGTGGGCAATTCTCGACTGCTTAATATTATCATCCCATAAATATCCCCACAATCCAAAAAAAATAAAAAAAAATAAAAAAAAATATATATATATATATATAAAAACACGTCCTGCAGCACCCTGTCTGCATCAGGAATCACTGTTAAGTAGATATGCTGAGCTGCTGAGCTACCTCGTACCACAGTGAAATTTAAAATATAGTGTGTAGCACTAAAAAAAATTATATTCATAAAAAACAAACAAATAAAAACAAAAAAAGGAAAAAAGTAAGTCTCTGCATGTAAAGTTCTCTGAATACTCAAGTAAACAAAAACAAAAAGTAAGGAAAAATTCAGGAACATATAAGAAAAAAATGCAAAAAAATAATAATCATGGTTAGATCTCACCACGCAGTGATAGTGCAGAAAATACTTGATCCTTAGCTATGGTGAAGGTGGTAGTACCAGGTCCAACGGCACCACCTTTCTGTTGACTCCTTAATATGTGATTTTTCTTGTCCCAGAAAGACTGATTGTAGGGGTCACAGTATCAGTAATGCTGTCCTTTAATGTATTCAGGATCTAGTTCACCAGGGGGCTGCATGTTCGGGATCACCATCCCTTCGAAGGCCCTCCGATCAGCCTTTTTTTGGGCGGTATTGCTATTTTTTATTTAGTGCTTGTTTTCATATACTTAACTAAGTTAAGAGAACCATTAATATTTGCTTCTCCCTGCTGCAGCATTGAAAACGTTAGCGTTGCAGCGTTGGAAGCGTTGAAAACATTAGCGTTGCAGCGTTGAAAATGTTAGCGTTGCAGCATTGAAAATGTTAGCTTTGCAGCGTTGAAAGCGTTAGCGTTGCAGCGTTGAAAACGTTAGCGTCGCAGCGTTGAAAACTTTAGCGTCGCAGCGTTGAAAGTGTTACGGTTAGAGGTTGAGAAAAAGTTTCTTATTTTTTTGTTATTAAATGTAAATTCTCATATAGCAGGTGTGCCACATACAGATAAATATACATTTTAATGAGTACTTCTAAAAAAAACTACCTGATGGTATGTTTCAGAATTCAGAATGTAATAACTATCTTTGTGTGTGGGCATTATGCCCACATATAATTACTGTGAAATCAAGTATCTGTGCTACATTATACTTTGTAGACATCTGTTGCAGCCTGCAAAAAAATCCAGTAACATATTTAATGGGCTCCCACTCCCTGGCTATGGGAATGTAGTCACAGAATCTTACATGCAATGACTGCAGTATGGTGAGTGGAGAAACGGTTCCATGTACATATCTGCAGAGGGTAAAACATTACCCCCTTTAATTAAAACGCAAAATTTAAAGTTATCCTATTAACACACAATGCAGGATAAAGCCACATATGAAAAACACCGCACATGGGAGATTCACTTGCGTAGTTTGGTTTACTGGAGGTGCATGTAGGGAGGGGAGGGGTTATACATTGTTAATGTGGGTTGCATTGAAATGCTGACATGTTTTTTTTACTTAAGTGAGAATTCAAAGTGAACTTAAAGTTTAAAGTCAAATAGCCGAAATTGGTAAAATTATCTTAGTCAGCTATAATTTCAATTCGTCTCCTCTGGCTTTAAAAGTGAAATTCAATTTGATTTAACTTTTGAATTTCCACGTTAGCAAATAACCCTCTCAATGCTCAGGAATGTTATACTTTGAAGTCTGTTTCGCCAAGCAATGCCATTAACTAGCCATTCAAGTCTTAGCGCAGTATAAGGAATCTCAAATTACATAGACTGATTGTTTTCTATTACTACAAACCTGTAGATGTCTATGATGAAATAATTGCTGCTACATAATTAATTGGTTTGATACATTGTTGCACTTTAAATGATTGTGTGCCCCAGGAAATGCTTCAAAATTAGAGTAATTGCAATTTATTCTTCTTAATAAAACACTTGGTTAAGTATTATTTTAATTAATTGATAAAGAAACAAATTACTAGGAGAATAATTAAGCCAAGGCTGTAATAGCATAAGATATATTTTACAAGATATTTATTAAAGGGACACTATAGTCACCAAAACAATGTTAGCTTAATGAAGCAGTTTTTGTATATAGACCATACATCTGAAGTCCCAATGCTCAATTATCTGCCATTTGGGAGTTATCCCTTTTGTTT